CTGGGTTTAGCCAGCTCTTGGGGACGCTCCAGCCATACCACCCCCATCACCGCCGCATCCACATTTACCAGTTCATCTGTCGGCACAGCGTCCTTCTCCTCTTCCTGGGTGACGGGACCCACCCCAGAGGACAGTGCCCTGAAGCAGGAGCTCCCTCGCAGCAGCCGCTCTCTGCAGGGCAACTGGCTGGCCTACTGGCAGTACGAGATCGGCCTCAACCAGCAGGATCCACATTTTCACTTTCACCAGATCCGACTGCAAAGCTTCCTGGGTCACTCCGGCCCCATAAAGTGTTTGGCACCGCTGGCAGGGGAGGACTACTTCCTCTCTGGCAGCAAAGACAAGACTGTGAAGCTTTGGCCTCTCTATAACCACGGTGATGGAACACAGGAGGTGGAACCCAGGCACACATATAACGACCATCGAAAGTCAATCTTTTATGTTGGACAGCTAGAGGCTTCACAGGAGATCGTCAGCTGCGACGGGACCGTGCACCTGTGGGATCAGTACACAGGTAAGAGAGAGATGGCGTTAGTTATAGGAGATGAGACTAAAATGGGGGAATTAAATATCTGCTGTTCTTTGTAAATAGACCCCCTCTGTTTTCCTTAGGCAAGCAGATTCGCTCGTATGAAGCCGTGGATGGGAAGAATCCCATTACAGCTGTCACCACCATGCCAGCCCCACACTGCAGTGTTGTGTTTGGCAGCGCAGATTCGATTCTCCGCTTCATCGATCCTCGCAAACCTGGATTTCAGGTATCAATTTCAGTTTGCAAGCTCATTCTGCCATACAACATAAACCAATTAGCATGCCATTCATCTTTTTTACAATTCTGCACTATAGAGTTATTTCAGAGTTGACAGTGACAAATCTTCCCCTGTGTCCCCAGCATGAATTTCGTCTGGCGTACAACAATGTGGGCGCTGGGCTCATCCGCTACCTGGCAGTGAGCCCCTCAGGGCGCACCGTGGCTGCAGGTTTCTCATCTGGATTCATTGTTCTGCTGGATGCACGCACTGGACTTATTCTGAAGGGCTGGCCAGCTCATGAGGGAGATATCCTCCAAATGAAGGTAGACTTAAATCATGTGTGTGTTTCTGTGTGTGTGTTTGTTTTCTTTACCTTACTTCTGTATAACTGAGTAGGGCTTTGTTTTTGATTTAAATAGCAGACAGTAGAGTAAACAATAATTAGTCAAAGAGAGGAGGGATGACAAGTAACCAAAGGTACCTGGTAACACTTGGACTGGAAGCGATGCAACCACAGGGACTAACCTGTAGGGAGCAGGGCTCAAGTGTATTCCAAGATTAAACCTTTTATTTAAGGATAAAGGATTCATTTGGTTATATAAGGTACATAGAGTAAGATGTGTTGTAAGTCACAAGGTAAAAACACTTTTAATGACCAGCATTCAACAGAGGAAGAAATATGTCCGTCTGTTTGGGTTTGATGAACTTTATAGTAAATATAAGGAAGATCATATAATTGTGATAATGTGTTTATATCAGAGAAAAACACCTATAGCAACCACAATTTAAGTCAGAACTCGAGGGTGTTTATATTGTCTCCATTTAGCAGATTTATAGGTTTTGGTGCAACCACCAGAACCTGAGAGTAGTATTTCCCAATCAGGCTTCTGGATGCCTACCACTGTGAACATCACAGCCCACGCAATGCACGTAGTCCAGTTTATCACCTGTCACTTGTTTTGACTCTTTGAGTTACCCACATCCAATGTCTGTCCTCGACCTGCTAGTGGGGTATATATATTTTAGGATCATTTTGAGTTGAGAGCTTGGTGTAAGAAGTGTATTACTGATGGTTTGCAAAGCCCCACATGGCCTCATCCTTAAACAAATTAAGTACAAATATTTTATCAAATGCAATTGGTTCCCACTTTTCAGAAAAAGGACTCCTGTTTTTCGATGTACATTCAGCCTGTATTGGAATAGGTGCAATAAAATGTGTCATAATTTAGTACCATATAGTCTGTAAAAACCTGAGCTGATATCAGTACTGCCCCAAAAGATTGCCAGAAAATAGGTGTCAGAATCTGTTCCCGTATTTGACCACATGACATTCTCAAGCCCAAAGGTGGGGCTCTACTGTTGGATGATAAATATTCAAGAAGGTCAGCGAAGTGACTTCTATTTTGACATTACCCAAAAGTAGTGGTGTAGCGATATTAAGTGTTGCAGGGATGGTGAAAGTTGTACCCGGCAGGTCTGCTGTCTACAGTGAGCAGGTTTGAGCAAGCTTTATTTAACCCCACATTAGGTCAAGGATTGTATCTCTAGTTTTAAAAGCACAAGTTTAGGCAAATATGGACACAGGTTACTCATTAGAAAGACCACAGTGGTTCTCATTGGCGCATTTATATTACTCAGACTTCCCTCTCAATTCGTATCATCTAAGTGGCTATCTTTCTGGGAAATTCTTAACAAATAGACTTTGTTGTATTGATTTAATTAGAAATCTAAAATAATTTGCATAGTAGTGTTCCTGTACCCTAAACCTTAGAATGTGATTGATAATCTTTAAATGTAAGCTTTAGAGTGGCAGTCAGTCGAAGAAGCTGATATATGTATGCTGTCGTCTGCCACAAGTTTCTGTTTCAAGCTTTTTCAATTGAAAAGGTATCCTATTTTGTTCATATATCTTTTAATTTAATGAAAACATATTTTTTAAAAGGGATGCTAGAAAACTGCCAATGTTTCCTGTGATATGGCATGGACAGTTGGTCACTTCCTGTCTTGTGTTTTACTTTTCAGGCTTCAGATGGAAACTTGGTCATCAGCTCCTCCACCGACTACACACTCGCTGTGTGGAAAGATCTGGAGCACAAGCCTCTTCGCCAGTACAAATCTCAGTCTGACCCCATCCACGCCTTTGACCTGTACGGTTCAGAGATTGTGACCGGAACAGTGGCTAACAAGATCGGGGTGTACTCCATGGCAGATATCTCCTTGAGCCCTGTTAGCAGCACAAAGCTGAGCACAGAGAACTTCCGCGGCACTCTGACCAGCCTGGCCGTCCTGCCCACCAAGAGGCTCCTGCTGCTGGGCTCTGAGAACGGGGCCATACGGCTGCTAGCTTAGGGGAAATCAATCCCAGTTAAACTAAAAACTCTTACCGCTGACTTTAAAAGTGTCTTATTCCCCTAGACACCAGGTGTCTTGGCTTCCTCTGTCCCCTCTCCTGTTCTTAAGGTCAATTGAATCCAGTAGGGTATTTTCTCTAAATTGCTTTTTAAGATGGAGCAGCACAAGTAAAGACATTGTATGAGCTTCATGTCTCCGAATCCTGCCTGTGTGGCTGATGGCACAGAATTTGAGGAGCAAAAAATGTGTGCTACGCATTTAACATTCTTCATGTACAGTTACATGGTATTAAAAAAAGAAGAAAAAAAAGTGCTAGATAAGATATAATAGGTTATTCTTATCTTGATAAGGTCATTTATTCTTTTGATACGGCCAGTTTTTCTGATCAAAATAATTATTACAAAGATGTGCTCAGGAAGGTGGAACCAAACATGGTTCTTACGTATTTACACTTTCCAAATGGATGCATAACAACACCAAAAAAACATTGACCTCAACTTTAATTTCCCTCGATGTTAGAAAACGTGTGTCCAAATGCACTGATTAAACTATGCAGTATTTGTAGATCAAATCTTTGTTTGTGTTAGCGTTGCTCAGTGTTTCTTAAGAGTTGTTCTAGAGTAATTTGTGTATACATCATGAACAATAAAAGTCCACACTCTGTTTTATATGAAAGTTTAGGTGCGTGGTGACACTTAAATTGACGTCACATACTAAAGTAATTTACTGATGCACAGCCTTTCTTCTACTGCACAAGTATGGCCTGAATTGTAACATTTAGATTCACACTCAGATTTTAAAGAATGAATGTTTTTATCCACTAATAAATTACTTGAAGTTGCTTTGGGATTTTTTTTTAAACCTTGTTTAGGGTTTTTTGATCTAGCAGCCAGAGACTTTAGCAACATTACACTGGGGGTGTATCAGAGCAGGGGCCACTGGAATGGGCTGTTGGACTCACCACTTTCTAATTTCTAAATACAAATGCTAACATAGGAACAGTCAATGCCAAGATAAACAGTTTTGTATTATAACGTTTATATAACTGCATATGACTATATATGAAAAAAGAGTTAAAAAATAAATAAAAAATGTGTTTTTTTCTGGCTCCTTATCATGTGCAAATTAATACAAAGTAGATTTTTGTTTCTGATATTTTCCCAATTTCCACAAAACACGGTACAACATTTCAATGCTCATTAGGATTCAACCATCACAGCACTCTTCTTATATCACTGTCATGGTATAATACTACTTTGCCTACTTTTTCTAATTATTTGCCAAATACAAATGTACTACACACCACTTGAGATTTTTGGCGAGTCAAAGCTCAACATTCACAAAACGATAAACTTTCTTTTGAAAAGAAAATGTGTAGTTGCACATTGATAATTGGTTACAATTCTTTCACAACCACTTTGAACATTTTAAGAAAAGTCCTTGAAAATGCTTATTTATTAACTGGATTAATTAAAAATTACTTCCATGTTTATTTTGGTGTTCCAGTTCTGTGTGATTCACCTGGATTCATCATGACTCCCAGCCTTGCTTACCGATCCTGGCTGTGTCACTTTAGAGCTCAGATTGGACAAAGTCCCCTCTTGTGTTTGCAGATGGCTGTCATGTGATCTAAAAGATATCACTTCACGAAATTCTCAGAAATATATGTTTCATTTGATGTTGCTTTAATCAAATCTTCCCCTATCAAGTTATTGTCAGTCACAACATATAGCCCCAGTCTTGCCTAGTAAAATGCTTTCACATCTTTTCTACGAATGTGTTCAAATAACAAAGTGTGCCTGGGTCATCAAATGAGTAACTTGTGACAGCAAGCTGTATTTGTTTGCCCACACAGTGTTAGATTATCCACACTTTCGCAATTAATCTGTCATGTTTTCTGTCAAAGATTTAGTTGTGTCATGACATTATCTCCTGCCCATTGACATGCAAAATAGCTAAGCATCTTCAGTCTTCCTTATTCAACCCTGGATGAGTCTCAGTAGCTACATTTACAAACAAGTAGTGGCTTAAATGAGGCCCCAATCAATGTAAGTTGATGTTTAACTGTTTGCTGAGCAAGTGCCAATCTTTTTCTCTCAGGAATTCTGCCATTCGCACTCACTTAGTCGCTCCTTTTTTGGACAAGGCTGGAAGTTTTATTTCTAATTTAAGGTAAGACCGCATTTATTTAAACAAACATACTGGGATTCTATTGTACATTTCAAAACTTGGTGGAACATTATTATTTGTCAGACATTCATGGGTTTTTCATGTTTGTGTAATGTCTGCAAAGGGCGGCTGTTGTGCTACACCAGTTAATTATTATGATTTTTTAAATGTTATTAGGAGATATATTGACAGATGTACTTTGAGAATTATAGTTAAAGGAAGAAACAATGTAATTCAAGTACTGCACGTCTCTGGATAAAAAGAGGAACAAGCAATACTTTCTGAATATAAGGCTGTAAACGTAATATTTTAAGTTTAAATCTACATAAAAGGTAGAGTATAAACCACTGAAATAAATTAAAGAAAATACAAAAAGGAGAGTTGTGTGACTGGATACGAAGAGCATTAAAACAATACTTTTGACTTTTAAATTATTTGTATTTTTGTTAGATTTAGAAATGTAATTTCTTTTGAAATATCGATTATAGGCACCACAATGCAATTACACTCAGAGGTATATTTTGCCCTACAAGTGGAATTTCTGTCCCTCAAAGTATGTAGCATTTAACAAAATGTTTTCATATAATGGTTCGAAAAGCCTTGATAACTGCTGAAAACTGTGTTTCTATACAAGGAAGAGCAACTAAGTAGAGTGAAAATGTTTGAGACCTAAAAACAATACAGCTAAGAACCAATGACCAAAAAGTGAAGAATTTTGAACACAAGTGGTATGGTTGTTAACATAATGTCTCTCTTTCACAGTTACATACAGTAAGGACATGGACCTTCATCTGACACTCCTGTTGATCTGTCTCTGCAGCCAAGGAGTCACTGTAAAGCACTGAAATAACTCATAAATCAATATAAAGATAATGCTGCATGATTAAAATGAATGCTGATTATACAAAGCATACACTGTTGTCTTATAGTATCTTGTTTTTTTTTATCAGAAAGCCGAGGTAGCAGAAAATGACTCAATCCCTCTGGTGCCTCTCATTCCTTTGATGCCTAGCCACCCCATAGAGGTAAGATGCTAATCAGTTAAGATGTGTTTTGTTTCTCCCATTGTGCTTGTCGTGTCATACTGTAGCATCTACATTTTCCTTGAACTTAACATGTTCTTCTACTGTTGCTTTTAGATGGTAGAAAATGAAACTACAGCCCAACCAGAAACAGCAAATAGCACAGAAGAGAATGTAACTGCAACAACCATACCTAGTATTTCCAACGGAGGCTCAGACGAAGAAGAAGAAAATTGCCTGTCTATTGGCCGAAGCCCAGAGTCCAAGGAGGCCATTGCCGCAGCCATGCAGAAACTGGGTGTGCAGCTGCTTCAGAACCTGGAGACAACGCCAGAGCAGCCAAATGTCATCATAAGTCCTTTGAGCATATCATTAGCGCTCTCCCAACTGGCTTTAGGTAGGCATGTCCTGCTGCAGCTTTTACATGACACATTGTACCCAAACAGCTTCTTCCCTACATATAACCAATTACAACATTCTATGAATTGTGTCAGCAACTTGCCCAGGTTTATATCCCACTGGGGATTATTTTATCATCCAATTATTGCACCTCTTCTGCAGGCGCAGTAAATGAGACAGAGGAGCTGCTGATGCACCATCTCCATGAGCACACTCTCCCCTGCTACCACCAGTCTCTTTATAATGTCTTGGCATATCTCAGAGACAGTGACCTGCGAATTGCCACACGTATCTTCCTGCGCCAAGGTAACTTTCTAGAAATACCATATTAAAAGCTGAGACTAAACTTGCAGAATGTTCCTTTTCTTACTATTTCTATTGTAACCTATTGGTGCTGACCCTTATGAGACGACTGAAGGGAAATACAGCCTGAGAGAGTGTGTGTTATGTGTTTTAGGGTTTGAGCCAAAGCAGAAATTTGTCCATGAATCCCAGCGGTTATATGCCTCGGAGCCAGCAGTGTTAGAGAGCCTGGACCAGATAAACGGCTGGGTAGAGAATGCAACGAAAGGAAAGATGACTGACTTCCTGTCTGCTTTGCCGCCCAACGTGCTCCTCATGCTAATAAATGCCGTCCATTTCAAAGGTAAAATGTCATCGTCAACAAAATGAGCCTCTTTCTAAAAATCATGGATGCTGAGAATACTAATTTCCCCCAATCCAAGTGGAAATAACAATTGAAATGTTGTGTGATTTCCTCCAGCTATAGTTTGTGTTATATTGCTGAATAAATGTAAGACCCATGTTCCTCACAGGAGAGTGGATGGCTCGATTTGACCCACGCTTTACCTCCAGAGGTGTGTTCTACCTTGACGATAAAAACATGGTTGATGTTGAAGTGATGGAAGATGCCAAACATCCCTTGAGTTTATTTATTGATAATGAATTGGAGGCCCAGGTAAATTACAGTTTAATCAATAACACTTGCCTCAGTCTTATGTGGAAATAATGATGAATGGCAGAAACCAAGTTTTCTACAACACAATTCTATCTTTCTGTGCAGGTGGCGAGTTTCCCATTCCGGAAGTCAATGAGTTTGCTGGTGGTTATGCCCATGTCCGGGCAGTTGAATGTGTCTTCACTAATCGCAAAGCTGAATATCTCTGACCTGTATAGTCGCCTGCCCAAGGCAAGGGCTGTTCAAGTTAAAGTCCCCAAATTCAAACTGGAGTATGCTCAAGACCTAAAAGATGTTTTTACCAAATTGGGTAAGACTTCATTATATCCCATGGACAATGTTTAAGTGATGATATTCAGCACACAAAAACAAACTCTTATGTATCAAACACATTTTTTAATTGACCATGTTTTCTCTGATCTGTGTTAGGCCTTGGAGACATGTTTTCCAGTCCCAATTTGGCCGGAATGGCAGACGGCCCCCTGCTGGTTTCCAGTGTGATGCATAAGTCCAGCTTTGAGATAAATGAGGAGGGTGCAGAGGCTGCCGCGGCCACAACGGTGGTGATCTCACGAGCATCAAACCCTGTTTTCCACCTCAGCCAACCTTTCTTCTTTGCACTTATAGATAATCTGACAGAAGTGCCCATTTTCATGGGTGTCATTAACAACCCAAATCCTGGAGCTCCTATCTTTCAGAGAGGAGAATCAGCAAGCAAAGATAAAGTGGGATTCCCAATTGATAAGAATCAGGTTGCCTCATTCGGAGGCCCACCTAAGTAGGGACTAATACCTGCACTGCTGTACCAGAGAAAACCCAGAACAAGATCTCTATAATTGTACAGAGTAAATACACAATATCAGTTATCTGGATTGAAATGTGTGTGGAAACATATTGTTTATGTGTGTCTTTGTTTCTTGTACAATAAACACACTAAGAAGCCCAGTATCTCATGTAAAACCAAATGTTTCTTTACAAAAATGACATTCTTGCTACATTAGATTACATGTCCTGGTCAAGCAACACTTACAATTATAATTAGATAAAAATAAATGGTTAAACACCACAGTAAAATATCTCCTCAGCTTGTTTTAATTGCTTGAGTAAACATTTAGATCCAAATGCAACGCCAATGTCACAGCATATACTGCATCATTGTGTATGTAATTGCATTTTTAAAGATGTCATCTAATGGGCTGAGAAATACAATTTATTTTAATCACATCATTCTTAAAAGTTATTTTTAATCTGAAGTTACTAATTAAACTAAAACTTAAACTAATTCACAAAACTGGGATATGATGAAACAGAAGCGTGTTTTTGAAGGCCTGGTGTTATTTTACCATTCTTGTTGATTACATGATGCGTTATGGATTGACTGCAATAAAAAGGTGGGGGTTGCAATCACTCATTATTTTTGTAAAATACCTTTTTACACACCCAATAATTTTTACGCTAAATCCTAAGAAAAATGTAAAGGTTTTGTGTACAATATTAAAAACGATAAATCATATTTAGGATGTCAACTTTACATCCTCTCTAGAATATTAGTTATGGTCGAGTCTGAAGTGTCCCATTTTGCTCTGGCTGTGAACGCATCATATAAAGCACCTGACGTCACGTTCTGTTTGGCGCTAATTTACACACAGCTGGTCTCCGGTCAGTTTTACAGTGTTTTCATGCGGATGGATTGACGCTGCTGACAGAATGCAAACTGACGTCAGATCTGTGAACGGAAGCGGAAACTGCTGCAGCTTCGCGCGTTTGTCCAAGCTGTTGGCGCCACCATCACAATTCACCAAGTTGTCAGCGGTGGAAGCATAGAGTTGGAGCAAACATTTAAGTACATTTTCTCTTCGTATCCATATTACCTACTCACAGACATGACGAAGCTCTCAGAGGGTGCCATAGAGGTAATGTTTATCTAATTTTCAAAACGGAACACTGCTGAAAAATGTTAAAGATGATTTTGTGCAGTTATAATTGCAGTCTTTGTTCAGTTGGACAAGCTAGCCAGCAGTCATTTGTTTCCATTACGAGCTAATGTTGTAATTTAACCAACGTCAGTTAGCTTAATGCAACGTTAGAAATGTTGTTATCCTTCAAACTCGACAACAGAAGGCTAAGCTGACGCAGTTTGTGTTAATTAACTTATTTTATTTTCAGGCTCTGTCCAATAGCAACGGTAGCAACGATGCTGTGCTTCAGTTGGTGGTGAGTAACACAATGTTATTATTGAATGTTTTCTCAACGTTACAGTCTACAAACTGCATAAGACTGCAGAATTAATTTGTTGCGGAATTTGGTAACTAATAATCAATAAGTGTGACACCACTCGCACTAACCCCCATTATCTCCTCCTCCATTGCATACATGGTGGTGCCTTTTTGAATCTGATTGAGGAAGACTTCTGAAAACCAAAATGTATCGTCAGTGTGTTATCATTTTTGAAAAAAATACATTCTTAGACCATGACAACTCCTAATTGAACATAGTACAACAAATGCAACTCCAGGAAACATTTTTACATGATGATTATGTTCACCAGATTAGACGTTAAGAGTTTGCTTTACAAAAGAAACACAAGGGACTAACATAAACAATAACTATTTAATGAACCATAAATCATACCAGACAAAAGTAATGGGCAGGTCTTCTTCTTTTATTACCAAACGGCTCTGGGGAACAACATTACATATACATTTACACTTAGGCCAACTTTTGGAAGGATACTTTGAATGGTTTTTTATAGTTTGGTGATAACTCTGTCCATTTTATTTAGTGCTTACGTTTGGTTCAATGCCAAACAGTCATTGAAAATGACAGGATGCTCAGGATCTCTGGCTGTTAAATTGACTGCCTGACATGATGTCCCATTTAAGGTTATTGCTGATGTGTTTACCAAAGAACTTGGACGAGTGTGTTATTTTAATTGGTTGGCTGTAGTTAAGGATAGATGCTTTTATATATTGTTTTGTTCTGAACTCAATGATTATTTCTGTAATCCTTGTTCTGTTCTGGACAAGATGATTTTCTCTGCTCCAGATGAATGAATTCTCTTAATTTTTCTTTTGAGAGTCCTCCACATTGAATAGATTTTTATATTTTGGTTTGCCTTCCCCCAAAAATATTTGTCGTCCTATTGTGCCATTCTGTATTTCATATTGAATGTTTTTACTTGTATATCCCCTTTCAGAACATTCGCAAGATTGATGGAGGAAGTGGTCCAGCTCGCTATCGGGTGATGATGAGTGATGGCGTGCACACACTATCCTGTAAGTTAGGTTTTTGTTTTCCTGTTTTGTGTATGCATGCTGAAGGCTCTGGGTGTTGAGGGACTGTCATGGTTGACACGTCTCATCAACGTTGCGTGGAAGTCGGAAACAGTACCGAAGGAGTGGCAGACCGGGGTGGTGGTTCCCCTTTTTAAAAAGGGGGATCAGAGGGTGTGTGCCAATTACAGAGGCATCACACTACTCAGCCTCCCCGGGAAAGTTTACTCTAAGGTACTAGAAAGGAGGGTCAGGCCGATTGTCGAACCTCAGATTGAGGAGGAACAATGCGGATTCCGTCCTGGTCGTGGAACGACGGATCAGCTTTTTACTCTCGCAAGGATCCTGGACGGGGCCTGGGAGTACGCTTATCCGGTCTACATGTGTTTTGTAGACTTGGAGAAGGCGTATGACCGAGTTCCCAGGGAGTTACTGTGGGAGGTGCTGCGGGAGTATGGGGTGAGGGGGTCTCTACTCAGGGCCATCCAATCTCTGTACTCCCAAAGCGAGAGCTGTGTCCGGGTCCTCGGCAGTAAGTCAGACCCATTTCCGGTGAGGGTTGGCCTCCGCTTTGTCACCAATCCTGTTTGTAATATACATGGATCGGATTTCGAGGCGTAGTCGTGGGGGAGGGGGTCTGCAGTTCGGTGGACTAAGGATTGCACCACTGCTTTTTGCAGATGATGTGGTTCTAATGGCTTCATCGGTCTGCGACCTTCAGCACTCACTGGATCGGTTCGCAACCGAGTGTGAAGCGGCTGGGATGAGGATCAGCACCTCCAAATCTGAGGCCATGGTTCTCAGCAGGAAACCGATGGACTGTCCACTTCAAGTAGGGAATGAGTCCTTACCCCAAGTGAAGGAGTTCAAGTATCTCGGGGTCTTGTTCTCGAGTGAGGGAACAATGGAGCGTGAGATGGGCCGGAGAATCGGAGCAGCGGGAGTGGCACTGCAGTCGCTTTACCGCACCGTTGTGACGAAAAGGGAGCTGAGCCAGAAGGCAAAGCTCTCTGTCTACCGGGCCATTTTCGTTCCTACCCTCACCTATGGTCATGAAGGATGGGTCATGACCGAAAGAACGAGATCGCGGATACAAGCGGCCGATATGGGTTTTCTCCGCAGGGTGGCTGGTGTCTCCCTTAGGGATAAGGTGAGAAGTTCGGTCATCAGGGAGGGACTCGGAGTTGAACCGCTCCTCCTTCGCGTCGAAAGGAGCCAGTTGAGGTGGTTCGTGCACCTAGTTAGGATGCCACCTGGGCGCCTCCCTAGGGAGGTGTTCCAGGCACGTCCAGCTGGGAAGAGACCAAGGGGTAGACCTAGGACCAGGTGGAGGGATTATATCTCTTCGCTGGCCTGGGAGCGCCTTGGGATCCCCCAGTCAGAGCTGGTTGATGTCGCCAGGGAAAAGAAAGTTTGGGGCTCTCTGCTGGAACTGCTACCCCCGCGACCCGACCACGGATAAGCGGGAGAAGATGGATGGATGGATGGTGTATGCATGTTAGAGTACATATTTCCCACATTCATCACATTAATACAAATAAGCAGATTTTAGATCCTTACCGAACATTGTGAATCTTTTAGTTGAGTTGTGACTGAATAATGGATAGATGGATGGATACTTTATTGATCCCAAATTGGGAAATGATAGTGTTACAGCAGCAGCGTGATCACGCATTCAAATATTTAAAAGGTGGAATAAAGTATAGAAATAATTAAAAAAAATGTTTTTCTCTAATAATTGTTTAGGAAAATATGATAATGTGGTTGCCAGTATTCAGACATATAACCATATTTTACAATCTAACATCTAACATATATAATACATATAACCATAGTTACAATCTCCTTAATAAATGTTTTCTGTTTAAAATGGGAGTGTGGTTGCCAATGAAATGCTTCATTACATTCTGTATGTCAGATGGGGTTAAGGACTGCCTGTCTTAAGGAGCAGTTATTTCCCTTAGTTGAATGATCCTTGTCTGGCAGTCTGATTTTCATTCCTCACTTTTCTTCTCCTTTGCAGCCTTCATGCTTTCAACGCAGCTGAACTTCATGGTCGAGGACGACTTACTGGCCCCGAACTGCGTCTGCATTCTAAAGAGACATGTGACCAACATACTGAAGGATAAACGGTATGCAGTCTTTCAACTTGTTTTCATATTAAGAATTTGCTCACTGACCGTATAATTGTGTTGACTATATTTTAGACATATTTAGTAATTATCTTCCAGAGGTAAATGGAAACATTGCTATTTTCTGCAGCTTACAATGTTTTCTTGTTACAGACGGGTCGTGATCATTTTGGAAATCGAAGTCGTCCAGCCTGCTGAAGAGGTTGCAGGAAGAATTGGCGACCCGACTCCTTACAATGATGGTAAGCCTTCAAAACAGGTTTCATAATGATATCTGCTATTTACTGAATAGTTAATGTTTGTCTTGGAGCAGTAGTAAGTGAGTTTAATGTACTGTCATGCACAATTGGTCATAGTTTTATTGCTGGTTTATACTAATGTCCAATCTTCCATGTAGGTCAAACCAAAGGACCACAGTCAGCACCAAGCTCTGAAATCCGAGCACCGCTACTGCAGCAAAATAAAAAAGAAGGTGAGCAGCAGAAGTCTTGATATGAATTCTTGGAACATGAATTAAAATGGGCATTTGCATTTAGTTCTGAAC